ATTCAAGACTGTGTTGTTCTGGAAGCAGTATAATGGGAGGCTGAAGACTAGCAGTGAGGAAAAGCCGTGCCTGTCACAAATCACATGTGGGGGATGTTGATGTTGCCTTCTGGAGATGTTTCTGTTTGGCTTCATTTAGGTTTTGCAGCCTTTTGAATGGGCTGCAGAATGGACTGTCTCCTATGTTCACTGTTCCTGGTCTCATTTGTGCTGGTTTTTGTATGGTACTGTTGAGGAGGGTTTTGCCAAAACATGCAAACTGTATCAGTGAACTTTCCAAATGATGCTCAGATCAGTTTTTATTTTTTTGAGAGGTTGCTTTTCATTGTCTTCTAGATGAAACTGGATTTTGTGTGTGTGTGTGTGTGAGAATTTTAGCTATGCATTACTTTTTGTTGGAACAACATTTTAACTGTGTTTAACTACCAGAACTTGTAGCTCTCATGGGCAGTGAGTCAGTGACCTGTTTCTCCTGGGATTACAAGCCACTGAGCAAAGAGGCAAAGGTAATGGGGTCTTCTCAGTCACCAATCTTCTCTACAAGAGGGTGCTCAAGTGTGCAGAGGGCAATTGAAAGGCAATGGTTTGGTTCCTGAGATTCCTGTTTCCTGTTCTGAGCAATTGCATAGTTGAGCTTTCTCCTGCACTTGCTTTGGAGGTTTAGGGGAAACCTGCTGCAGAGATGTTGTGAAGGATTTCGTGCAGGGACAGGGCACAACATAAGAGGAATGCACATTTTTTGTGTTGCTTTTGCTGGGCTACACTGGCTATTTCACACCTGCTGGTGAAAATGTGATTCTCATGTGTGGAACAAGATAATTCCATCAACTGTTCTGAAGTTTTATAATGATGATGATGATGATGTAATTCTGTGTCAAAATCCACTACATCATGCCATAATTTCGAAATTCAGGAGTTAGGCTGATATATATAATATATCCATTATTATACATATTATGATATTATAATATATATATTATACCTTAGGTGACACACTGTTTGCCAGGGAATGAATGGGAAAAAAATTACTTGCACCAGACCCAAAATTTAGAATAAATAATCAGTACTATGCAAATACAAAGAGGCATAATATCTCAGTATTATTCCCAAAAAAGACTGGCTTCTACTAATAAAGACAAAAGTGACAGTAATAGTGACTAGAAGCTGGACGAGATAGCATTGTCAGGAGCAAGAGACCAGAAGCAGTCATTGAAAGATCTGTAATTTGTGTTTCTGAACAGGCCAAAACAAATGCTAATTTAGCTTCCTGTTTGGAAATGATTGAAGTAAGCAGTAATTTGATGCCACACAGAATGTAATGGCATATTTCAGAAATACTGCTTGAACATAGCACCATCTACTGGCTACAGGGTTCTTTGTGGGGTTTTTTTTTTGTTGTTGTTTTAAGAAATATTTCTTCTTGTCATTCAACTATATTTTAAGTGAGTTTAAAAGTGATTTTTCTAATTAGTTAGAGTCGAACAGTCTTAGAATATATTATTAATGACAGTCTGTGTCCCCAGCTTATTATTTCCACAGTTTAACATACTAAAAAGACTAAAAGAACTGTCAGTAATTCTTGTCTTCTGTTTGTTTTCTGCTCACTGGAGCATTGAACATACTAGTTAGAGCACATAATTTTTGGAGATAGCTATGTCTTCTTGTGGAGAGATGTCATGCATGCAGCTCAAAGGTCAAGAAAAGCATCACAGAACATGCTAGCTCCCTTATTCATTAGAGCTAACTGTAACACCTTATGCAGATACTCTGGTTTTCACTAAAACAACTAAAAATTTTAGGGGTATTGCAGTGGTTGCATTTTTTATATTCTGTCTTTCTAGAGTGTGCATGGAAAGGTGAGGTATTTCTTTTTAGTTTACTTACATACATATTTATTAATGTTTTCTCTTCTGCTCTAAGTGCTTCTGGCAAGAATGGATTTACTTGGTTTAGCTGTAAAATACCATTTGCTAGCTAAACTGAGATGTGGGCAGAAGTTGGGTAAAATGACCCAATACCAGCATGCGACACCTTTAAATGACAGAAATTGCATAAACAACTTTAGTTATTAGCAAAGCTTTCTAACCTCTGCATTTGGGTTTGTACATGTATGTTATATTTTGAGAATTTAGACTTTGGGTTTTTCCATTTGGACAAATAATGGAGTGGGTGTAGCCAATTTGTGATGTAGCTTCAGTTTTTATACCTATTTACTTTAGGGCTTGTGCTGATACCTCTTCATGAATTTGCTTTTGGTAAATAGAAATGTTAACTTGCTTTCTCTTCTCAGCTATGAAAATATATAATTAACCTTTGTAAAAAGAAAGAGCCTTTCCCATAGGGCCCACTTGTGGTTTTATTTTTAAAATAAATAGCCAACATGACTATCTGTGGTATCTTCTGTCATACAAGCCCTTCCTTCTGAGAACATTCACTGTACTGAACTTTAAAAGATCTTTTCAAGATGGGGAGCAAAAATCAATGTGCACTTGGGAGAATTTCTGCTGGCCTGCAGAGCAGCTGTAGTACAACCAGGTAATAAATGGATGTTGTACATAGGTACCTTCCAGCACTCTTTAGTGTCTAAAGAAATCATGCAAGCAAATTCAACTAAGATACTGGTGTTGTGCATAATGTGGTTAAGAATCAATGCAAAACCTTCGGTTTGGTACAAGTTGCCCTTCGTTCCTCCAGAGTAAAACTGTGACAACTCCAACCCTTCTCCCCACTCCCACATCCCCTAACTCTTTTGGGCCTAATTGCAGGTTACAATTTCAGCAGTTCTGTTAACCTCTGTACACAAGCCCTCTATATAAATCCACATCTTGTTACACTGAGTAATTTTACTGTATTGTTGCCATGTGCTTTCTAATTGCAGTGAATTCTGTTTCATGTGTATGATGGACAATGTAGTAACAAAACAGATTCAACTAATCACATAATTACTGGGCAGTTTTGAAGTAGCTATCTGGCATTTTGCATGTACTAATAATTTTTCTGCATCATGTGCTTGCTGGAAAATAGCAAAAATAGCACAGCCTAGCACTGAGCATTTTTAGCTACTGTAGCAAAACTCTTGATGTGCTTTTGTTCGCACAGCTTGCATTTGGAAAATGTGAAAGAAATAATTTCTGCCTTCAAAACGATTGAAAATAAACAGCAAAGACTAACAATTATAATAAAAAACCCCTTTATTGAGCCTGAAATCCTAGAAATGCACATATATGTATTGATTAAGTTTTGTGAGTGAAGGATTGCACAAACTCATTAAGCAAAGTACTACTAGCAGTGCTCCAGACAGACGTTATCTTTTTTGCACGGTACCTCTGTAACTGACACATGGAACAGCAGTGATTACAATAAGAGATTATGTTATATTGGTGTGTTTGTACTCTAAAAACTTTTTCAGTACCTTGTGTATCCAAAACAGTTCCAAGAGCTAGTCAGATTTTGTTCATCAACATCTTTGTGAGATGTGAGAAAGGAAATGTTCAAGAGGAGTAGGTTTTAAGTAATGTAATAGTTCCCAGATCATCAGGCTATCAGCCACGTGGATGCTTGATTGAAAGAAACTATGGAAACACTGAAATTTAAAATGCAAGTGGGAAATTGGACATTTTTTAAATACACCAGTCAGGCACTTGGAAATCCATGAGGTATCATTCTGGAATGATGCTAAGCTCTCAAAATGCCAGCTTGCTTTGCAAGATGACTTAAGAAACTATCAAAAGGTGAGGAGAAATCTAGGCACAGAGCTGCTAACAGCTATGATTTGGTAATCAGCATCCCAGAATGGCAGTAAATGGCAAAATTACCTCTATTTTCTTCCTGTTCAAAATTAGTGCACATAAAGTGAATATTGCTCAGGAGAACCGGAAGTCATGATGTTTATTTTTGGCTTAAAAAACCAAAGCAATAAACTTCAATGGCTTAGCCAAAGGAATGTTTGTGCCTATTACATTGTTATAGCAGGAACTGAAATGTCTTTCACAGCTCTAGGAGAAGACAACAGTCCTCTGTAGGATTTTTTTTTTCCAAAACTATCTGGCAGCTGGTAGGTGCCAACATTTCATTGGAGCAATTGGTAATGGAAAAAAATCCTCTGTGAAGTCTTCACAAATACTTTCTGGCATGGTGAGTATGGATGGCAGGATGTACAACAAATCTCTCCTATTATTAGTTCCTATTTTAAGAATCAGCATTGCTGAAAGCATTGTTAAATTCTCTAAGAGTCTTGGGGAAAAAATTTCCTCATATTACTGACCGTAATCTCAGACAGGGGCATAAAAGTCTTACAGACACAGTAATAATTCATAGCTAGCTCCTCAAATTTGTGACTGTAAGTAATGAAGTCCAAACAGAAAAGTTGGGATCTGGTTTACAGCTGCAAAGGCATGTCATAGATAACTCAGAGTCATTCTGCATCTGGCTGACTGTTAACGGGACAGGAGGCCTTGCCTTCATTGTTAGTAGTCCAGCCTCAGTTCTGGTTTCCCCTCCCGCCTTGCTACTGGCTTGTCATTACAAGACCGATGTAAATAAAAAACAAGAAAAACCAGTTCTGCTTTTTCTTCTGTCCATATGTATGTAAACAGTGTTTGTAAACAGGAGGTACCATTCACAAGTGCAGAAGCGCTGCCTTCCTTGCTAGAGTCACCCAACATCTGCTACAGTCTAGTTCCCTCAAGAGAAATTCCATAGTCTTGTTGAGTAACTGCAGAATTTTGGGCTCAGTCATCCGATCTGGGAATTCAGTGAAGACATCAGAGGCTGTGGGGTTTGTACATGAGGTAGTAAAAAATTACAGGAATATACATATGTTTTAATGACTATAAGCTGGTTCTTTTGAAGTCACCAACATTTGTGATTAATATGAATCTTTTAAAATAAGGCTCTGAATATTCCTTTCATTTAAATGACTCTGTAATTGCCTTCAATCCTTTTGCTATTTTCAAGTCTCATACATCCATGCAGCATTGCAATTGAATTGCCACACTTCTTCAACCATGATGTCTTTGTACCTTGGCGAGAGAAAACAAATATTAAAACCAGACTTTACTGAGGCAACCCATTATTATAGTTAAGTTTATGAAACAATTTCAATGAATCTCTCTGCTTGCCTGATATGCAGAATGAAAACATTAAGTGAAACTTGGGCTTACAGTTTTTTTGTTGCATTAAGAAAATGTGCTATTTTGATCAATGTATGATACAGCACTGTCTGACTGACTGACAGACAATATATATTTTTTTAACTCTATGCAGGACATATTTATGACAACCTTTAAATCAAAATTATTTCTCTCTTTGGGTCACATTTTGGAAATCCACATTACAAACATTACAGTCTTATTGATGTAGGATGAGTAATTGCATACTTTAAAAATATGTATAAGCATTTCTTTGTTTCAATTTCTGAAACAAATCTACTCCATCTCTCCATTCTGCTGGCAGCACAAATGTGTCTAATACACTGAAATTAAAAGAGAAACACCATAGATGATGCAAGAGGAGCAGAATGCTTTCACTTCAGACATCACCAAACAGTTAGTTGTAGCAAAATGTTTAATCAAATTACTTCAGTGAGTGAGCACCAGCACTCAAGCAAGGGAATCCAACAGAAAATTGCATGACAAAACAGAGAAACGGTCATCATTCCCTCTGATACAAAAAAGTAAAGTTATTCCCAAATAACACTTGATGAACTGACTGGCAGTGTAGTTAGATGGGAAAAGATCAGAGCTTGACTTGATGCAAGCTAAGAAAGTCATCAGTAGGACACTCTTCCCTAAAATGAGGCCAGATGCTGGAAAAGAAAATAGTGATCGTTGTGAAGAGGATAGTTATCAATTCCTACTGCATGACAAGAGACAATCAGCTGAATTTGAAACAAAGGAAGTTTACATTCGGTGCTGAGAACAATTCTGTAAGTATTAGAACCTAAAAATTACTGGAAAAGGTCTTAGAAATTCCATGAATTTTCCATTGCTGCAGAGTGAAAGGAAGAAATCAGACAAAATACACATTTCGTGTATATCATGCTGCTTCACTGGACATGGTGCACTAGTTAATTAACTCCCAAATCACTGTATTGTGATGGTGTCTTGGCTCTACATGTACCTGAATTTTCTTCCCACAGAGGACTCCAGTATAACCTGGACGACAAGAGCACACGTTGGGCAATACACATTTGCCTCCAAACAGACACTTCTGGCTGCACACAGCTAAAACAAGAGAGGTGCATATGAGGCTTTATTCATGGACACATCTTGATGAAGGAAAAGTGGATGCTATCTCTAGATACTTATTCTGTTTGTTATAGGAACCAAGACCTTGGAAGGTATTTTCACAGGGTAACACCCCTCAGCCTAAGGACACTTAAAGGTCACGTGGAGCCAACAGTGTTCTTGTGTCTATCCCATCCCCCTTTTGCTTTGATGCAGATTTAATGTGAGAACATACTGAGGGTGTGAATGAGACTGAGCAAAGAACATGAGTAAGGTGGTTTTTGGCACATCTTGCTATTTCAAGCTATCACAATGGACTCTCAGGGCTTGCGCAGCAGCATACAGCACTGGAGCAAACCAACACATACTGCCATGCTCCCAGAGTGCCATCAGATCCTGGAGGGCTTCAGAAGAAGCAGAGCAATCTCTACTCTTTATCCTGCCCTTGACATAGATGTGGACAAACCACATCCAAGGTATAGGAGGACTTCTCTGCACTGTGCATTGCTGAAGCTTTCTGAGCTGTGCAGAAGCAAGAGGTTTCAGGTTGCATCATTCTTACGTGTTTGACACTGGAATCCTTCCCACTGTGGAGGACAATGACAGGTACTTGGTCCAATACACTCCCCACCATTCTTACATTCCTGAAGACAGATTGCTGCACAAACATCATCAAAAAGTATGGTTATATTCCAAGTGACTGGAATTGGATTGAGCTATTATTCAGATTTGAGGATGCTCTCACAAGAGGTAGAGTGCTTTTCACACACGAGTCACATCATCTTCACTCAAATATGTGTCTAAGGCCAACAAGATATTAAAGGAGAGGCAACTAGAAACAAAAAGCCCTAAAACCAAAACCCACATTCAGAGGTTCTGCTGTGTCACAGATTTCTACAAAAGCCTGAAATACTGAATTAGGAGAGGACCATTAAAGACCTTTATTTTTTCCAAATTTACCTTTTGCACACACCTTGGCGAGAGATCTTTTGTCTGTCATTCAACTGAACACCCAATGAATCAGCTCAAGAATATTTGATCCAAATATATCTTCTATTACCCATTTGTCTGCACATTTGTCCCTGCTTACTAAGCCATGATCTAACCCACCATTATTTCCTTTCATTCATACCTGACTATTTGATAATCAAATCTCTCCTCCACAGTGTCCAAGAATATCTCACTCCTGTAAATGCTGGTAATATTTTTTTTTTTCAAAAAACAACCCATTTCTAATAATTACAGAAAGTAATACAGGAAAATTTATTTTTCCTCCATGCCATAAGAGAGCTTATTGCCCATATCAGTTTTTAAGCCTTGGGTGGGTACTCTGACAGACACTAACACTTTAGCCATCCTCATGCTGATTTTCATGCAGACTGTGCTTTTATCCATGCTGACACAAATTATTTATGCACCATCAATATCTTTCTTAGGATACAATGTGACCCACAGATGTACAACCATCACAGTCCAATCCCTCTACCTGTCCTAAAGAGCTTGTGCCCACTGCATCATTTATTCACATCACGTCCAGCTGTTTCCAGTTTTCCAATATTCACTGAACTTCTTTTTCTATTATATCTGGGTTTATGTCCTATAGCACAAATTGGATTTCTTTCACTTTTTTGACTAATCTCTTTGCAGAAATGCAGATGTTTTTATTTAGACAAGAATCCAGAAAGAAACAAGTAATATTTGCTATACAAGGATTTCACAGATATTTCGGTCCTATGATTTAGCCTAAGAACTGCATGGTATTAGTTCTCCATTCTAAATTTTGCTGCCAAGATACAGACAACTGTTTTTTCAATGTGTATATATTCTTCAGTTCTATGGCACTAACTTTGTATTACTTGCATGAGCAGAGTTGCCCTGAGTCTCATATAACTTTTAAGGTATGATTCTCCTGGTACAAGGTACTTACGAGTGTTACATCTTTTTCCTCTCCATCCTGAAGGACAAGAGCAAATGTTTGGGCCTACACATCTTCCTCCATTCATACACCTTGGCTCACAGACACCTTAAAATCAAAACCATCTGCTGTTTAACACATTTAACTGATCACACAGTAATTTATTGGCTGTTTTTGGATCATAGGAAGATTTTAACACTGGCTTACTTTTTTCACATCTTCTGCCTGTGTACCCATCAGGACAAGTACAGACATTATTTCTCATGCAATGACCACCGTTCTTACAAGGAGGGCTGCAGACAGCTAAAAGGTACAAACAGGAGGAAAAGGCTGTAAGTTTGCATTTTGACTTAGTGATATACTTTTGGAAAACTGGAGTGCAACACTAAGATTCTGACAGCTTGTATGGACATTCAGCACTATCAGGCCTGCCTTGTAAAAACCATATTAATGTGGTTTGGTGTAAAAATCAATAGTAAAGACAAAATCAGAGAAGAAGGACTCAAGGTTGGCAACTGTATCTGTACAAAAGTAACCAGACTACACATAACATACAATTGAATGGGACGAAAACTGCTTAAATGTTGAGTGGAATGCAAGAAAATTTTGAGTATTCACTCTCCTTGGACAGTTGTTGAATCAGCCATAAAATCTAAAAAATAATGTAATCTCTGTTTTACACTACTTCTCAGGTACGTGACTTGATTGTTAATTTTGTGTCTTAATGCTTTCTCACAGATTTCCTCATAACGGCAACTAAGGAGTAGGGAGAAAAAATAAAGAAAATATTACCATTCTGACAGCGGGCACCAAAGAATCCATGTGGACACAGGCAAACATCTGGCTTAGTACAGGAACCACCATTGAGACACACAGGATTACACATTGCTGCAGAAATAGGGTCAGGAAGAGTGGGAAGCATGACATCCAAATAAAGTCTATAAAATATGTGTTTCTGTTTCAAGAACAGGAATTAAACACCTAAGACAACTGCAGGCAAACGTCATTCCCACAGAGTCTTTACCCCAAATTAAAGGATCAGCATAAGACTTCCCAGAGGTGCTGCTGGCAGCAGAAGTAACCTGCAGAGACTCAGGGGAGTGTGGGGGCTCTGCAGCAGAGAGCAGCTGCCCAGTGCTGCCACCCAAGCCACGCAGTTCCAAATTTCAAACAACGGGAGGTCCTATGGACGCTCTCCCAGGAACAAGGAAGCTGCAGGGGTGGTACCTGTGCTGCAGGTCGGTCCGTACCAGCCAGGTTTACACTGGCAGGTGTCCGGAGTGAGACATTCGCCGCCGTTTTCGCAGTGCCTGTTGCAAACCACTGCCGTCCAAGAAGGTGGGCAAAAACATAAGGCAGGGGAGGAGACAGGGGGTGGGAGGATGAGAAAGAGATACATCACAAATTATTCTCGATTTGTTTTTCAGTTCTTTCCCAAAAATTAACACTGGAAGTAACATAAAATTCCTAGCTGAAGAGGAATTGCTGAACAGAGTAATCTCGTCTCAAACACATAATAGCAAGCAGAGATGACAAAGGTAAATAAAATGTCTTTCCATGCAAATATCCATGGTCTAGTTATATTTAGTGTTAAAAATGTAGACATTTAAATAAAAATTCTAAACCAAATGAGAAATGCAATACTGAGACAAATGGACTGTGTTAAGTGACGCAAGTGCAGCTGCATGCACACAGGAACATGAGATTGACAAGCAAAGACATTAAAATATCATATCTGGGGAAAACCATGAATCACTTCAGGAAAACGTCTCATACTCTTTAGTACTCCTTCACAAAGAGCATCATTTTTTTGTCAGAATTGAAATTAGAACAGGAAAAGCTGAAAATCAGAAAGTCCTGGGATTTGTGGAGGAGACGAAGGATTTTCTGAATTCAGGATCGATAATGCAATGGTACATTCAGGTGAACAATATATAAACAGCATGTTAAATTTGGATTCTCTGAAGGATACAAATTACCTATATAAAATCTATCCAAAATTTGGAGTTGCCAAATTGCAGCATGCATGATTTGATATGTAAAAGACAATTTATGTGAGACAAAGTAATTTCAATCTTTCATCTATGATCACAGCAAATTTTTCAATTTTCACGCCAGGCAAAAGGAAAAAAGACACCATAATGTGGCTCTGAATTCAATTTTCCTGTATCCCAGTCTTTCTGACACCCCAGCCTCTGAATGTACCTCAGTATCTAATCAATCTGAGCTAATAGAAGTTAAAAAGCTGTCAGGACATAAGAAACATCTGCATGTTTTTCTAAAGGTAATATCACATACACAATGTACTCATTTTTTCCATGTTTGTGAATAACAAAATATAAAATATTTGCAGCTTTTATAGTGCATTATGTTTTCACAGTTATGTGGAAATATTACCCAATGTTTAAAAAGCCCAGGTATAGGAACCTTCAAAGAGGCACAGGTATTATGTCATTTGCTAGCATTAGACAGAAGGCATAAAAAATTTAAACCATAATTTGCTTTCTGGCTCCTGAAGAACAGGAAAAATACCGTGTATTTTTCTCTTACTCTCTTTTGCTTACTTGTATCACATCTTGGCCCCACAAAACCATATGGGCAGGTGCAGAGATTTCTGGCCAAGCAGGTGCCTCCATTTTGACACGGTGGTTTACAATGTGCTGCAGATACAGAATTATGTTCAGGAAATTGCCTCTAGAAAGATGCATGGACTGGTTATGCTTTATAAAAAACGAAATGATAATAACTGTCAGTGAGCAAAAAACTGAAAATAAAATAAGGAGACATAGGCAATGTCTTTTGACAAGAGTAAGTAATAAGAACAACTTCAATAGTGCACAGTCCAAACAGTGGTGGTCACCCTGAATAAAAGAAAGCTGACACAATTTCCAGACTGTGCTTCCCACTCTTTAGGAGTGTTTAGGTTAGAGGCAACTGCATTCACTGCTGAACTGCTCTACTTAATGTGAAAGCTAAATTTAGGAATATCCAATCATAAGCAACATTTACAGTGTGTATCAAGAAAATGAGGACATACACCAAAATGTAACTCCAGAGCTCTGTTAAAGTGACAGTAAAATGAACACACCTTCATGCTGTCAGAATGAACAGTCATGGGAGTTGTTCACAGCATCCTTTGGGTAGTTATGCATTTAAAAGCAAAGACTGCTACATTTACCTTCCTCACAGGTGGAGCCACTGTATCCAGGTAAACAATCACAGATGTTGGGCTTAATGCACTTCCCATGGTTTTTGCAATCAGGTCTGCATAGAGCTGTAAAAAAAAAAAAAAAAAAAAAAAAAAGCACTCTGCAAATCATTCATTTGTGCATATGAGTTACCGCAGGCAAAATTAACGTGCCATACTCACCAGCCTGACAGTTATGACCAGCAAAACCAGGCTTACATTTACAAATATTGGGTGCCACACACTCCATATTTTTGCCACAGGGTTGTCTACATCTTGCTGAAAAGCAAAGAAAACAAAGAAAGGAATAAGAAAAATTAAAGTGGCATTTCAGCACACTGTGTCTTACCTATTGTAGTGAACCGATCACAGAGAATCCATGATGTCGCTGCCCATAAATGCAGAGTCTAAGACACATCAGGTATTTTTAAGTGCACCCATAGAACTAAAAGCCTGTAGGCTATGCCAATATTAATAATGAAAATGAGGAAATTCAATACACCACACTTTCCACTGATAATACAGTAACAATATACTTGCAAGTTATAAAGGCATCCCAAGATTATTTTCTTCAAAGCATTTAAATGCAATAATTTGTAATACCTCTGCAAGGTAACAATACCTCTGTACATTACAGAGGTAATACCTATTACAGAGGTATTACAATACCTCTGTAATACAGTAACAATAAACTTGCAAGTTATAAAGACATCCCAAGATTCTTTTTTTTCAAAGCATTTAAGTGCAATAATTTGTAATACCTCTGCAAATGAAGCCATCTCCATAATAACCATAAGGACAACGACCACACTTGACACTTCCATCCTGCCTTGGCTCACAGGGTACGCCAGGAAAACAGGGTAAATCAGACCAGGTCACTGCTTTAGGAATCACTGTTTCACTCAATTCTTCAGGAAGCATTTTTGGTGGGACAGTGACTTCCACAAGGGTAAAAGGTAAATTACTTGCTTGTTGCTTAGCTAATAGGTGCAGAACTCTTTGAGCATTTCCATCTTTGAATGCTTTGTTTGGCAAAGTATGTCCTTTGCTTATACTTGCTGTGCTGCTAGGGGAAGTCTTCCTGCTGCTCTCAAAATAGCTGAAGGCCTCAACTTGTGCCCTTGTTTTCTTCTCAGGTGATACAGCATGGCTCCTTGAAGATGCAGCCATTACAACATGTACCGAAGAACTGTTTTCTACGTCAGCAAGGTGACCACTGATGGTGCCTAGAGCACGAGCAATGTTTCCAGTAACCACAGGTTGTATAGAAGCACTTCCTTGTGAATCAGGTGTCTTGTAGGCAGTGATTGTTTTTACTGTGGAGGCTGGTAGTGTGCTGATAGTGACCATTTCTGTAGAAATAAATCTCCTTGGGACATCTGTAGAACTGGGAATATAACCTGACATGCTTAAAACCTTCTCAAAGGATGATGGCTGAAAGCCTACAGTATGTTAGAAAGAAGGGGGGAGAAGTATGTGAATACCATCAGACTTTTTTTCCCCTTCGAGGGTGGGGAATGCTTTCTGAACAAACAAACATACAGCCCATTCATTCTGTGCTTCAGGAAATCTCTCCCTGTGCTATGTCAGAATGTAAGTATGCAGTAGAACCTAACTGGGAGAATTAGAGAAGATCAAGGTGTTCTGATTACAACCTCTCCCGCCCTCACCATGGCCTTTTCTTGGCTGGAAGATAAGGATAAAACACAGTTTATAGGAGGCACAATTTAAAGGAGCAGAGATTTCCCATATTAGGTCAATAAACAGATTTACTGTCAGCAGATTATCAGCTCCATATATTGCTTTCAACTAGGTAACTGAAAGACTTTAAGGAAAAGATATTGCATATGGTTCATCAGTGTGTCTTAGCACTAGAAGCAGAGATAAGACCACATGTATGAAGATGCTTTTACATACTGATGCACCATGGACAGCATTCTAGGGGAACAAGCCACCAACTCGTAGCACAAGTATTACCATGTTTTATTCTTAAAACTTTTTAATCAACTTTATTAAACTTTCTGCATGGTTTTATAGTGGGATACTTCAATTGTTTAATAAACATCAAAGACTGACTCAGTCACCTCATTCAAGAGAACACAAAATGAATGATAAATTCTTCATACTCTGCCCAGGGAAAGTGTGTGGTTTGTGCAAAGAAGTACAGCACTATAATCCCAGACTGGCAATGGGGTTTTAGCATTATGAGGCAGTGGAGGAATGAAACCCTAACCTATTTATAACTAGAAAATGGTTTACAAAAGGTTAAACTTTACTGAATCACCATAAAGTGTGGTCTCCCACTGCTGAAAAGCAAACCGTTTTGCAGCTGATGAAGAATTAATTATCCAGCAGTGCAGTAAGAGAGTCTTCCTTCCCCCCAACAACAATTCAGAGATAGAGGGAAAAGACACATGAGACTTTCCTACAAAGAAACCCCCAGCAGGCACAGACATGGAAATACCAGCAACAGCATTTACAGAGTTTCAGAATAAAGACATTCACTTGCCATATCCTTCACCTCTCCTTTGAGTTGAAGTAGGAAAATGACATTCAACATAATGCCATAAACTTTTGTTTATCTCATATAACAGATGTCCCTATCCCCATGTTACCTATTTTATGTCAGTGGTTGGTCACTAAAACAAAAGGCAACTGTAAGAGTGTCATACATCACACTGTTAATAAAATTGCTTGACTGACCCAAGGGATTTGTTGATATTGACATTTCAGTCTCATTTTTAAGATCAGAATACAACCCCAGTAATTAATAAATTGTGTCAAACTGAAAAATAAAGTGAATAGCATAAAACTGACTAGAACCTTTATCTGCCAGATATATTCTTATCAGCATGTGAATCAGAAATTCCATTTTCTTCAGGAAAAAAAAAATCACCTTTATTCTCTCCAACTTCTCCCTTGGAATCCTTCCTTTCAACACCAGTGTTGTCAAATCTTTCTGAAAAGATGTGAAGGCACATTAGTAGTGCACAGAAGTAGCTACATGTTTTTAAATTTAAATAAATTACAAAAAAAGTTAAAATTTTATTACATAAAAACAACTGAAAATTCAGAAAGTAGATTAAAGTTAAAAAACATTTATTAAAAGTTTTTTAGCAGAATACTTAAAAAATACAAGTTATTCAGAAATTGCTTGTAAATAAATGTTTGGCAGCTGCCTTGACTTGGATAAACAGTTCTGTTAATCAATCTAATGAAAATATATTTTTTCAATAACTTATTAATAATTTCTCATATTATTAAAATAATGACAAAAAATGCCAAAAATATTCCACTGTATTATTCCACTCTAATGTAAAAAAACGGGGATGTGTTTTGTATCTGTTTTTTTCTATGCTAGAAAGTATTTTACAGCTGTGTTGACCCACTACAGTCTAATACTGCCATCAGCAGAGACAGAGCCCTGCATTGCTGACTACTGAAGAGAGTTCTAAGTTATTACTAAAAGCATGAAGCACAATCAAAGATATTTTTTCTGAATGACAGTAAAACAATACCATTCTTCTAAAAATCAAATAGTTTTACCATGACATGTCTTCCCATCTCCTTGAAGATTATTTGGGCATGGACCACAATAGTAAGAACCAAAAGTATTGAAACAAAATACTCCAGGGAAGCAAGGACTGGATGCACATTCATCTACATCCTCTTGACAATTTTTACCTGTATTGAAATATAGATTTAAATTTTTTTTATAATATAGTATCACTAGACTTTGATGGTGCATTTATAAAAGTACAATGTATGCAAGTGCTGAGAAAAAAAGTGCAACCATTCATTTCAGTACATCTAATAAGAACAGCTGATAAGGTTTGCTATTCACATTTTTTCCTCTCATATCAAGTATTTTGCTTGTTGTAGAACATGGAGAAGATGGGCTGTGAGGACTACATGATTATCTGCAGGACGAATTTCCTGTGTTTCCCTGTGTTGATGAATTTACCTTTGCAGAGGGAAACAATGCAAACTAGTTCTCATAATGAACTAAAATAAACAACTATTATAGCCATGCAAGAAAAATCTTGAAGTATATCATATATCTGTACCACAAGACCATAAAGTTTCTTTATAATACTACATAACTGTCAACAGCAAGGTATTTACATTGAAAAATTAAAAAAAGAAAATTGTAGACATAAAATTAAAAACTCCTATTTATTACTAAACATGATAAATGCATGGAAATAAAGCAGCAATTTACCTTGAAGTTCATGTGGACATTCACAGTAATAGCTGTTTATTCCATCCACACATCTGCCAATACCACACTGGTTAAGTTTACAGTCATCAGTATTCACTTGACAGAGATCACCTTCAAATCCAGCCACACACACACAAAGATATCTTCCACTTCCAGGTGGGAAATGAATGTTTGTCACACATGAGCCATTATTTAGGCAATCACATGATTTTACACTGACCTACAAGACATGCCCAATAAGACAGTTTTCTTTTCTTTAATGAACTAGCAATGAGTTCTGTAAATAGATAACTTAGGTATCTTGTTACTAAGTGTTATTTTACTGTAATATTCATTACCTCTATTTCTACCTTGGTCGTTGCATTGCAGTCATCGGTCAAAGAAAATGTTAATTTGTGGACATTCATTGACACAGCTTTCCACGAAAGGAGACCCGATGGGGAAAGACTGGCACCTTCTGGACCAGAATCCAATGTGAAATGAATAGCAGAACCCTCTGGATCTGAAGCCAAAAACTGATACAAAAAATCTTCTCCATAAAATGTCTGTAGCATACCCTGAAAATTTTCAAGCACTGGAGGCTGGTTACCTGTAACAAAGGAGACGTTTTCCTCCTCTAAGGAAAAGTTGCAATATACTTATAAAAATTAAAAGGAACATATCTTTCTACTAAAGAAATCCCACATACTTATTTCTCTTAAATTCTAATGTCATTTGAATGGCACAGGAAAAACACTTGATATTTTCAATGCTAGCCAGTGACTGCTGCAAGCAGGAATCCACCCACTGTGGCAAAAACCATGAAGGAAGAAGAAGATGTAATCAGTGTCTCAGCTGCTAAACTCTCTCATTTCTAACACCATCCTCCTTGCAGAAAGAGGTTGTGCTCTTTAGGTTTGGAGTGTTGCCTCTGGTTTTCGTTCTTCTCTCATTTCTGACTTTGGCTGTATTGAATTCCAGTCCATAACATGCTGATAACACAGAAATCCATTGACTCCCTCTCTGCTGGATGAGTTTCATTTCATTCCTTTCATTCACATCTCATCCTTTTAGAATAGGTATATCTACCTTGGCTTTCAGTACAAGTTTGAACTGGGACAGGATTCACCAAGACAGGCACCAGAAGTCCCATTCAGACAGGACCTTTCCTAATCAAGGCAGAGTCTTGATTTCATGGGTCTTTCACTCATGAAGACGCTGATAGAATGCTTGTACTTGTGATGTTAGAGACTGCAGTTGGCAGGACAGGCTGGATGGCTAATATGAAAGCTCCAAGAAATCCATTTCGTGAAGGGACCAAGTTGATGTGTATATCCAAAGACTGAAATCTGCACCTAAAGAGCTACAACTTCTGTGTTGGAACTTTGTACTACAGAGAAGGAAAATGAAAAATTTAGACTTAAGTTTTCCCTTCATAGTATGGTTTCTAACTGGATTGGAGTACAGCAGCCTTAGATGTACTTAAGATTTAGGCCATGTATCTATGCCATCAATGTAAATGATGCCCAGATATTGTGTCTAATAAATATGATGTCATTTAATTTAACTTGGGATCCTCACTTGTTTGTAATCAGAATAATTTGTTGAAAAATACCTGTTTAACCTATATGTTGAAGACAAACATATGTGGATGTAGCTGTGCTAAATATCAAGACTCCAAAGTACTAATTAGACTGAAAGTTGTTAAATCTTCATTAGTTATTTGTAATTACTACAGCAGGAGAGTCAGAGAAAGCAAATGAAAATATTACATATATGGTCTGGAAACAACAATATAATTTTCAGAAACTAACAGAAATACCAAAACACTTACCTAGCTAAACTTAAAACATCACTATTACCATAAATTTAAAAACTTTGCAGACTTTCAACTACTTGGTATTAAAAATACTATTTAGAACTTACTTTCAACAACTGACCAAGTTAACTTGGCTAAGTCAGGTCTGCACAGTAAGCAAGGGCTGGTTGGATTTGTGTCTCCTTCACCATAACAGAGTCCATCTATGTTGCATGTTTTCTCCTTTTAGAGAAATGACAATGTTATTAATTAATGGTTTTGGTTATCAAACTGGTTATGAATTTGTAAGTAGTAAATAAAATCTAATCATTCTTCACTTCTATTAAACAACTAAGCTTGCTTCTAAATCTAAACAACTAATGGCAAGTTTGGTTTTACTTGGTAATTATAGTTTGATTTTACTTGGTAATTTACTAGGTAAATATAAGTAATTATTTTACTTGGTAATTATGATCAAAATTTTGGTTTGATTTTTTACATTTAAAATTGCCTCAACCCAGCTTCTCTTTCTGTGCATTGAAAATCCCTGCTGGAAACAAGAACAGGTATGTTCTGCTAATTTTTCTAGATTTTTTTTTCAGCCTGAAAAATGCATTACTTTCATAAAAGAGAGTAGTGAAATACATACCTTTAATGAACATAACCCAGATTCTTGTGGTTCACATGTCTGACAGGCTCCATCATATAATATCATTGTTTTAGAGTTACTATAAACAAATCCATCATTAGAAATCTGCAAGGTGAGCAGTAAAAATGGATTAACTGATACAAGTATTGATAGACTCACCTGGTCCACTAGCACACCCTTCCACTAATTAATAGACACCCACGTGCAGGTGTCTAAACCCTCACAAAAGGCATCAGAAATCTAATTAAACCTGCCAAGGAGTCTAGGCAGATTTTGACCAACCACATGTCAGTGTCTAAGGTAAATTGAATTCTGTGTAGGCTCTATTGACCTTATTGACTCAATCTGTATGAGAGCTCAGATTATCTGTATGAGAGCACAGGGATTTGTACACGTGGCTGAGCTCAACTCAGTTCTACCAAAGATGGATCCAAGGTCATTTGAAATACTTTAGGCTAACTACTTGGCCTTTAACTTCTACTCTTGAAGAATGTGTTTCTCTGCAGGACCTAGGTTGTATCTACCAGTACCCTGCAGGAGAATACTATCAAACGACACTTGACACTTAAGCTTAGGTGACAAGACTGAGACCCCAAGTTAAGCAAGTTGACTTCTCCCTTTAGTACCATTAAATAAAGGATATCTACGTGACATATTTTCATCTTAATAGGAACATTTGTAAGTGAATATTTGAAATTTATGAGAGTACCTTTATTTGCCATCTGGCAATGGGTTTGTCATCAACCACATCCATTACATCAGACTGCTGGACATCACTTGGTAACTGGCATTCAACAGTCCTGGCATTTTGGAAGGCAGCTGGCATAGTTAAAGGTTCTCCAGGAATCCACTGTCTATCACTATACTGAATGTTAAGACAGAAAATTTGATACATCACGAAAACATTTTTACCAGAGAAAAACTCCCCATGTGTTGCACAGCGTTTGAACCAGTCTAATGTGTCTGGATTAGAATGCAGTGGCAAATATTAGATGACAGTATTTGCACACACAGATTTTCACCTAAGCCTGCTACTGTGGAGGAGCAGGCAGAGAAGTCCTTCCTGATGCACAGCCCTCTGGCACTGCATTGCCAGGGACAAACAGCCCTTCCAGCTGGAAGGGAACAGGAGGGTGAAGCAGTGGGTGATCCTCAAACACCACTGATCTGACGTGCAAGTGCCTCTGTTCCACTCCATCTCTGCTCCCATGCCAGGACAGGCTTTAGTCAAAGGAGTAGATGAGGTTTTGGCAGGGCTCAGGAATCATTCTGGGTGCCGGGGCAATACTGGCAGTTGGCCATTTAGCCCTTGTACAAGCCAATAGTTTGTTCAATGGAACAAGACACCATTGACTTTTCTTGACAGCCACAGACTATTCTTCCAAACTGCTGTGAGGACAGAGCATCCAAGCATCCATCTTGGGAGCTCAAGATAACAGAATAAGGGTGATACTATTTGGCTGAAGCACTGATGTGGAAGTAGGGTTAAGCATATGGAAAATAAATAAAATGAGATGGAACTAAGAATCCAGGCAGACTAAGAATCAAGAGAACAGCAAGTAAAAGGGATTTGGAGCTTGAGTAGTTTTTACTGAGCTTACATAATTTTTTTTAGTTATTAGAACCAATCAAAACATTTATTCAATCACAATCTTTACATGGAGAGTCATCTGCTATATAGGCCTAGCCTTTTTTTCTTTTTTAAACAGAAAAAGGAACACTTTTGCTAAAAAGACATATGTGCTGCTTCTGTTCCAACCACTTATCTTTTTCTTTCACCCTATACTTATTTAAGAAATTCACAGCAAAGGTAAGTATAAAAGCTAAATATTTCTAAACATGGCATTTTGAGTACATTTAATACTGCAACCTTTGAAATGTGATACAGTCTACTTCTTCAGAAACCTTTTGCTACTAGCTGGAGGCAAGTTCAAATATTTTTTTCAGAAAGTTTAATCTTTCAAAAACCAATTAAAAAGCCTTCAGATCTGTAAGCATTCCAGCTCATAAGGTTCATGGAAATTGGAATTCAGTGTAAACCAGAAGGAAATAAAACTATATTTTTGTATTGCAGAGATTAAACATACTCTCATCCTTTACCTTTAAATTCTCTAGTTCTGTAATCATAAGCTCCTGACCATTTCCCACCCAAACCTGCATCAAGTATCTACCCTAAACCGAGTAAGACAGCCCATGAACAATAGACTTGATTTAACATTTCAAAAGTGAAAATATTGAAAAGAGAAAGAAATTCTAAATTCTGTCAACATGCCTCTACTACAAAATTTTGATCATTTAAGTTCAATCTCAAAATATGTGCGGTTCCATACTGTTGCAAGTCTATTGACATTTCCTTGAATTCACTATTTCTCCAGCCTGAAAATCTAAACAAAAAACCAGTACCCCAAACTTCATTTCTTTTGTGTTCTCAAGGAAAAAAATTGCAGCTTTCTCCTCAACTGCAGCTAACAGCAGTAAAATGGCTCTTGTCAGTGAGAAGATCATCATTAAAAGTCACTAATTAGGAATTTTTTTTGTTGGCAGCCAAATACAGCACCACCAAGAGAGATTTCAGAATACCTTGCCATGAGTTAAAACTGAGATGTTTCAAACTGTGATAAGTGAACTCCCAATAATTGTCTTACTGCAAGCTTGGTCTAAAAGTCTTTTAATATAAGGGGAGCATAAACGTACTCTTGACAATCATTTCAAGCCAACTTGAGTGGAGATATGTGGAGTTTAAGGAAAACCTATAGCCAGCATTGCCTCATCTGTCAAAATAATTTCAGCATCTGCTAGAAATAGCTAAGGAAAACTACTGTCTCAGGAACAACATTTCCCATTGAATGGTTCCCCTTTTGCCAGCTCTCACCCCCTCCATCATCACACCAATAAAACACAGTTTTACTTTTAGCTTTTTTTGTTCTCATGTCTAACATGACATAAAAACTTTTATGCTGACCATTTATTCCAGGCTACAACTTGTAAATTGTTTGTGTATTTGCCTTGAAAATTTTCTTTTTTAAGAATCAGCAACAACAGTCTCTCTACACAAATTCCCCTTAAGTTTACAGCGAAACATTTTTTAATCTCCTGTGCAAACCTGACATATATCATTAAAGAGCCATGGTATTCTACTTCTGGGAAATGGACAACGTATCAAAAATGCCTTTCTTTATCTTTTCCTAATAGATTTATTATGTTTATAAAAGGCTATTTCAAGCATTAGATTTGAGAGAGAAATCTAGTAATGGCTTTAACCTTGCTGTCCTTTTTCAAAGAAGTGGTACTTCCATTCCTCTCCATAAGCACTTAAAAATACAACGATGTGCTGGTTGTTACTAATAGGGCTGCCCTTGCCCTCTTCTGATGGATAGCTGCTGTGTGCTGTTATCTCCCTCCCAGCTGCTGAACATTCCCATTATGTTTTGTATTTCTCTTATCATGGAAGAAATGGCAATCTTGCAAAGTCTTGAGTGTTTGCTGCAAAGTGCTGAGTGCCTTTGCTTTTAGCTTCTACTAAACCATTGGGCTGTGCTCACATCAATGAATAATACGTTTGACATTTTGTCCCTTGTTCTCTAAGAAGTTTAAAATGTAATTGTCACTATTCAGGGAGACCTACTTGCAATTTGATGATTTCACATTTCAGGTTCAATGAGTCCCTGAAGCCATGTCCAAACACTCTCACAGATGTGCAGTCATACTGTCGAATGTCGCACAACCCAGCATTCTCCAACTCTGTAATTTCTGGAGCCTGGTCTTGGAAGCAGAGATTAGACAATAAATGCTAGTATGAGAATTCATTCTTATGCTTTTACATTATGCAGTATGTTTATTTTTCTATCCAACCATGAAAATTATGTAAACAAGAAAATCTGGGACCAGCTGAAAGGAAGCATAAACAGAAAGACTTTACATTGTTACACTGAAACTTTAAAGCTAGGCTTTTGTCTTCTCTTGGAACCTCAGTATTAGGAAGCAGAGAAATTTCAACATTTAAACACTTGTTAGTTGTTACACTGAAACTTTAAAGATAGGCTTCTGTCTTCTCTTGGAACCTCAGTACTAGGAAGCAGAGAAATTTCAACTGATAAACACTTGTGAGTACATGTTTTGCTTTCTCAACTATAGTTCTTTACATAAGACTTCCAGAATAAAATTGAAATTAAACTAAGGCCTTAGAAATAGGAACTGGAAAGGAGGCAGCTATGCAATAATTTATATAGGGATTCTTTTTTATTAAAAACTAAAAAAAAACTAAAAAAAAATCTCAAATGGAAATTATTTCAGGAAATAAACTGACAGATCAGAACACAGAAACAGTTTTTATGAGGCAAAACTAGCTTATTTCTACTGAAGTCAAACATTTCTTATTATTCTATTCCCTCTTTGTCTATTTGCTCTTAAGTCATTAAAAACATGATTGCAAACCAGTTTTGGCTTTATTTTGAAAGAGTTTTGACTTCAGTACTACTGTTCATATTTTTCCAGTGTAATTGTTCAACTGAATTTTTAGTGAATATCTTACCTACAGAAAATGGAAAAAACCCTGCCCAGCACTTTGTTACAGCTCTTTTTTCTTCGCTTCCAATTCTGCTCCCATCCCATCTAGCTTACAGAGATGTAACATCAATAAAGACAAAAACATCGCACTGAGATTTAATAAACAGGATCACATAAACTATAAAAAACTAGGGGAGGGATGAATCTGGCATATTTTCCCTGAAGGAGACAGCATGTGGAAACATTGACAGTCTCTTGGGGCTACACTCTGCATTGCAAAGGGACTTTTTTAATATGACCTATTAGTAACTAAGCTCATGTTCTGGCCTTGGAAACAAGAAGGCTGAATGCAAAATAATTACAGCTGTAGTAAACTGTAACTAAACAATTGAGAACCCTTGCCCATGTACAAAAGCAGGAGAGAAAGGCAGCAAAACAAATACACTTTGTACAAATATTGAGAACATTGTTGAAGTACATCTCATTTCCCCCCACTTACCAGACAGTATGCTGCAGTCATATGAGCTGTAGCCGTGAAAACATGCACAGCCCCATTCTGTACATTCTCCATTACCACTGCAGAGACTGGGACACTTCAAAGCAGTAAGCAGGCTCTCAACTGATTCTTCAAGTTCCTGTGGACTGTAATTTATTTCTTCTAAAATTCTTTTCTCACATTCATTCTCCAGCAGAGCTAAGGAAGCTTCTGTCCAACTGAGGTCATCTTTCAGCAGCAAATCTTTAATGCACATATTGATGGCATCTCCTGTTCGCCGGCCAAGGAGGGCAGCACAGGACCTGCCTATGCTGGAATTAGCTATTGCCTGCTGGCACAGGAACAAAGCACTAGATTCAGTAAGGCCTGAAGGTGTGGGCCAAGAAGGAAGGAGCTTTTCATCTGTGTCAGTGACATGGTCCTCTGGGAAAAAATAACTATATCCCTCTAAATCTGTTTGGCTGAGACTTTGGAAGACAAATACTGGATGGTATTCATAATAATTTTGGCGCTTCCCTCTACTTGTAGCAGATTGAGCTCTGTGAAAATGACTGCTGTAATGGTGAGAATTTCTCCTAATGTCTAAGCTTGAACTTCCTTCTCTTTCAGTACCAGTATTACCCACTGAGGTGGCAGAGAGACGTGAGTTTAATAGTGATGTTTTGTGAAGTTTGGTTTGATTATTCTGCTTCTGCAGAAGTGTAGATAAATCAATTTCCTGTGTAGATGAACGTTTCTTTAAGCCCCTGACAAGATCAGCAGGACCAAGATACTCAGCAGTGACATCCAGTCCTGGTATCAAAGAAAGAAATCTACCATTTTCACTTTCTTTACAAGACAGAGGAGGTTCTGACTGAGTAACTGTCTCCAGATTGTTTGCTGGTTGATATAATCTGGTATCTTCACGTGAACAGTCACAGAAGAACATTTTTCTAGAAGATGTTAATGAAGCAGGTGTCTTGTCAAACAAGCTCTCTCCTGGTAAAATTCTAGTGAGGAAAGGAAAAGGTGAAACTGTAACATCTGAACTATTTTCTTTGTGTTATTAAAGCATTAACTTTTTTTTGCTCTTTGTTGTTTCATACTTCTACAACATAAGTATGCATCACACAGTTATATTTAAACACCAGCAAAAACACAAAACCCCAAGAGTAACTTATACAAGAATTGAGATGAGTGGATATTTTCTGTATACCTTGGTGCTTTGTTCCAAACCTAATCAAACTAATCTTACATCATAGTGCTTAAATACTTATTTGGCAATTCAGTTTAAATTTTCTCTTAAATTAATTATGGAATGTAATTATGACATTCTAACATCAACTTCAAAACTTAAGGAGATTCTTTTTTTATCATTTTGACAAGTTTTTAAGAGTGTGAAGGAAAGGTAGAACCAAAAATGATGGCATTTGATTTATCAACAGAAGCATTTTGTTACCTCCATTCCTTAATAAAAGAAAAATCAAAAATGATGGCATCTGATTTATCAACACAAGCATTGAAGCATTTTGTTACCTCCATTCCTTAATAAAAGAAAAATGAACATTAGCATGGTTTGGGATTTCCATGCCACTCGCAGTGTGATAGTCATTCTCTGCATTTCCATCAAAGGTGCCACAGAGTCCCACTGTATGTCTGTAATCTGAACTGGGTGCCCTAAGTGTTAGGCTCATTCCCCATTCACTCACATCAGCACGAACGAAAGTTCCAGAAGAAAACAAAACCTAAAAAGAGATCCAAGATAGCCTCATGAGAAACTTGATTTTTCACTTTACGTAATCTGTAAGCAATTATTTACCACTTACTGTTACTTTTCTTCCTAGGTAGGATTCAGTGATTCTGACATTGCTTCCTGTTGTGTCTCTGTTTATTACAGATAAGTGTGGCTGTGATTCATGGAGCTGACCACTGCACATGTCAAATGCAATTATATCACTTCCTTCCTTAGCAACAAAGCCACAGTTGCAGGATGCTGGGTAGTGAAGACTTCCACAGTCCCACTGGCGAACATGAACTTCAAAATCCCGAGATGTACTCTTATAGAGAACAAATGTTCCAGTTTTAAAATTGTCATAGACTCTGGAATCAAAAGTATAGCATGTGATATCACTTTGGTTGTGAAATAACTGTATCACTACATGTCAGCAACTCTATTTTCAAGCAGATTTCTAATATTTGGTGAACATTGATACTGAAACTCATTTTCTCAAGTCAGAAAAAGCACTACAGCTCACAGAGCAAAACAAAGCTTTATCCTGAGCAAACGCCATCATATCTTCCTCTGAGCAGCTCTAAATTAAAAAAAAAATCTTATTTTTACAGCAGAAAAGAAGGATCTTGAGTGGAATATATGAAGACAATGGCTGTGAATGTAAACATAAGCATAAAGCTACTGCTATTCTTTGATTCTAACAGTGCATATGGAGGGTACTTCTCAACCTTTGTGTGTCTACAATGGTACACCTACGCAGCAAGAGCAATAAGATGCATAGCAGTGTGCATGTGGGGGCAGCTGCTGAAAACCGCACAAGTACCCTTGACAAAATGATTTAGAAAGTCACATTTTTTTAAAAAGCTCTGCTTTATTAAGATGTAGATGGGGAGTGCTTATTCCCAATGATCATTTAAGATGAAAACCATAAATAGCAACTTGCTTTTTTTCCTTAGGGTTAGCCATCTGTCCCCTGAAGCAAGGTTAAAATAGCCAATTTAATGATTCAGCAGCAAGAAAAAAAATTAGAAAAAAAAACCCCAAACTTTTGCTGTAAGTTTAATAGCCTTTTGGCTATAAATGGCATTTGACAGTTGATTGTAGACTGTCAATTTGCTTTGTGTATAATGGGGCAGCAGACAAACTGCAGATGGCCGCACAACTGGGACTGCATAGGATTGTCCATAATTCAGTAGGTAATTTGTTTCCTCAGTTTGTAAAATAAAGTAGCAACATAATTTATCCTTAAAAAGAAAGTTCTTTCTCTGCAGCATCATGCTTGCAGACATCACATTGCAGTAAAACACTGCTTCATGAGAAAGCTTGATCACAATGTATCCATGCTTGCAATGCCCAGTTAAGACATCCCTAAAACTTCCACTGTAGGAGAAACTACAAGATCAGGATAAACCCATTGACTTTATTAGTAGTAGTCAAAGTTCTTTTAGAGAACCAATCACAACTTTTATTTCCCCTTATGTTATCATGTGTGGGCTGAACATCCTTTTTTGGAGGCAACATATCCTCGTCTTCTCACCCTTCTGTTTGAAATGTGCTTCTGCTGAACAAAGAATATAAAACTCCCAGGTGTGGAGCCTGTGTTTGTTCAGACATCCTTTGTGAATCAGAACTATCTTGTAAGAAAGAAGCACAACAAAACCAGCTGTGGCTATGCAAGCTGTTTTCACTTCAAAATCCTTTTTGGCCAGTGATGTGCAAGTGACAGCAATCAATAAGTGTCTTTCAATGCCACTAATAAACACAGCAAAATGCTACCCAGACAGCAGACAGCTTCTAGTAATTTGATCCTACAAGGATTCAGATACTGACACACAGAAATAGGGAAAGTATGCCTTTATTTGGAAATATCTTTGCATTAGAAGTTTTGTTTACTCAATCATTTTATCATGGTTCATATTTAATATATGAACATTTCTATTTTTTTGCAGCCAACAGACTCCACAGCTACCACTCCTCTTATCCATTTGCTTCATTCTCTCGCTACAACTCCAGAACTTGCTTTTAGAAATGCAAATATTACAAACCTCATCATGGCTGGCAAGCTTTTACCACATAAAGCACATTAATCCTTATTGTCAAAAAGAATTGTAAAACAGACAGTGCAATTGCAGAAAACTACAGCTTACTTGTATCACCAGCACAGATTTAGAATAAATATAGAGATAATTAAAGAAATAGAACACACTCCTCAAAACCCACCCAGAAAAGCTCCCAACACACTTAAAATTAAGAGCAGCAAGCCAGTAATTACCTTCCATCAAAAGTAATTATATGAGGGTCAGTAAATGAGTAACAGTAGGCAGTGGGTAGATCCTTAACTGTAATCTTCAAAACAAAGAAAAACAAATTTAAAACACATCAGGTTAGGAAATAAATGCACTCAGCTATGTTATTTATCTTACGGTAGTAGTTTACATTCTAATAAGTATATTATACTTTTAATCAATCTTAGTAGTTACTTCAATATTAAAATATAAGACAAAAAAATTCAAATGAAAACACAGAATTTCAAGAAAAAACAAAGCAATTATAATCAACCACTTAGATATCTTGGTGTGAATCATTAAGTCACAACTGAAATAAAAGCTTCACTAACACCAGCTACACTTCTGAACAGTTTACAGATCTTAACACAAAGATTTTCAACCTGTGTGCTTTCTGGAACATAGCCATTCCACAGGAAATTTTCACTGGATATAGGTTCAACTGCAATTCTGGTAATCCTGTCTCCATCCTGCATGAAGTCTGTCACAGCACTGAAATAAATTACAGCTTGACTACAGATTCCATCATTGCAGGATTTCTGGAGAAGATCCACATGACAAGAAGAAAGAGCCAAGTTTAGACCTAACTGCTCTTTACCTGTTTTAAAGAAAATACATCATTAGTGAGTTCCTTCTCTAAACAAGACACATTCTCCATACTACTGTTAATATAGATACTAACTTATTTACACACACTTTCATAAATTAAAATAATTATGCATTTTTCTTGGGTTTGGTTTGGTCATGCAAAAAACCTCCTCTCTACCTCTTCATATACACACCCAAGACAATGTTTTTGCATTCCCCAGTTTGACAGACAAATGGAAATCATTATAGGCTGGATAACATGAAAAAAAATGTTGTCTGCATAGGCAAGGCTTCTCCTGGTTCACAGGATTTGTGCTTGAGAAAATATTAAAGAAAATTACTATAAGAGTAAAAAATTATGACTTTGTGACTGTATATATAACACTTGCAATGCAACAGGTAAACAAAATTACTTGAATTATAAACTTCACAAGTATTACAGTATTATGTCTATTCAAGTTAAAGAATGTGGCTCTGATATCAGTGTCTGCCAAAACACCTGCAAACTTCAAAAAGTAATTCTTTCCTATTTTCAGCAGCATCATACAGACTCTGAATGCTTTAACATTTTAGAAACTATTTTACAGTGTAACAACTTCTCTGAAGAAATAAACCAGCACAGTATTTATAAAAATATACAAAAATGTAATTAAATATACAAAATGTAACAAAATCAGGGTAATACTTACCTGCATCAACACTGTTTAATGTTAGTGAGATTTTGCAGTCACTTTTTAGCTGGCTAAATTCAGGACAAGGAATAGGAATGCTACTTTCTATTGTCAGTCTGTATTCCTTCCCATCTTCTGATATATCATATGCTTCTGGATGTATCTAGCACAGAAGAAATTGTGCTTAAAATGCAATCTTTGTGAGCAAACTGCAGCACTGCTTCCTAATAAGCTAGGAGCGCTTATTTATATAGGCTGAGGAGCAGCAGCATATTGAGGAGAAGATGCAGACACAGCAGACACAGCCTTGAAGAGGTGGGTAAAGGGGCAAGGATAAGGAAAAGGCAAGAAAAAGGGTTAGCTAGAGGAGGGAGCTAGCAAACCACATCTTCACCACAAAAATGAATAACCCTTGGAAGCTAAGATACAAACAGCTTTGTGTACTGTGTGGGAGGAAGGAAGTGGGAAGCTACCTACAGGTAACAATCCAGGATAATTTCGAAGCACCATATTCCTCCTGGGATTCCTCTCTGCAAGCTTACAATATTGATCACCGAAAATGTACAATCAAAAACTCAATTACAGATCAGTAGCAGGGGCCTACAGCTCAGCTTGGTAGGATGGGTGAGGTGGTCCTGAATGCAGCCTCACAGGGAAACAAAGAGAGCACATTGCCTCCTTGCAGAGTACACTGCAGAACTACGCTTCCATTAGAGAAATCTGGGCCCTGATCCTACCGGAACAGGCTCAGGCTACGTCAGCAGGACTATACCCAATATATAATTAATGACATGCAGTCTGTCTTTCCAGGACTGGGGTGCCATTCTTGGCCAGCAAATGGGTCCCTATAGCTCTATCCACAGCAGGAACTACACAGCAGTAGCCTCCCAGCTACCCCGCTCCAAGCCCAGACCAGGCTGGCTCAGGCTGTGCCCCCAGACTTTATGAGCACAGCACCAGTCAGCTCCAGTGCTGGAAACCAAGGCCTGCACTGTGTGTGTGAGGTGTCAATTCAGCCTTCCTGCACCTTGAGTACATGGGGAGCACACAAACCACTGTGATTCTCTTGCTTTTGGACAAATTTATGTCCACCTCAGCTGACAACAAGCTCTATTAATTTACAGTTTATACATTTTAAGTGCCTTCTAGTCAGAGGACTGACTGCTGTAGCAATACTCAAAAAATCCTACCACATTATGTTTTTACAAAGTTACCTTAATTCCAGCAAAAAATTCCTTGCTCTCAACTGAAGAGCTTTGTATATCTGGCTTCTCCATGAAAAAAGAAGAACTGCTACAGTACACCTGTAGGGTAAAACCAGAATAAAAGAATATATTTGTGGTATGAAGTAGTCACATGAAGAAAGATCTCAGCCACCATGGTCAGTTCAATGCTTCATCATGGCCAGTCTTCTGGTTATACCACAAGGTAGCAGTTGCCAGTGGTAACAGGTAAATACAAATAAAGAAGAAAAACAGATACAAACTGAGCATCCTAGGACCTTTTCCTGGCATATTCTACCAGTGGTGCAGAGACTTCTTCAACTAAAAGCTACATACAAATCATATTTAATTAATACTTTAAAAATCTTTTCTGGAGCATTTCTACAACCAATGATATCTATGAAAATGCATTTTACACTTGATTACATGCTATTTACTACTTTTTTTTTTTCTATTTCATAGCTTTTGCCTTTTAATTTTGTTTAGTGACCATTAGATCTTAGATTTTGTTTTTCCTGATATTAGAGACCTGGATAATCTTCTTCAAGATGAGGAATTCAGTGTAACTTCCCTCCACTGAACCAGTTTCATGCTACTAGACACCGTGGTTTTGCTTTGGTTTGGTGTTTGTTTTGGCATTTGTTTTTATTTTGCTGTATCCATTTTGAGATGTGTTGACCACACATGCAGAATTTCTGATCCTGAAAAAAAAGTGATTCAGAGCAGCAGGAGGTAGCTTATAACTGTGCCTTTCCTTTTGACTGTCACCAAGCCAACACTGTCAGGCAAGTCTTCATAAAGTCCCCAAATTATTTTTGGGGAATAAAAATTGCTATTCATGTCCATAAGCCATCCAGGCAGCCTGGCTTTGGCTTGAACATACATATGCATACTACTCATGTGTTTTGCTTTTTTTATTTTCTCCAGGAAAAATTAACCTGTATTTTGGTATGTATAGGTAAAACACGTATTGATTTTCCAATGCTTAGGCTTCTCAAAGTTACCATGAGACCCTAAGTCTTCATTCTGCTACAATGGAAGGTAAGGCATCACACTGCTTTTGATGACAGAGATTAAAACATAAATCCTAGACACAAACCCACATCCAGAGAAAAATATACATCTATTGAATCAATAACACAGCTTTTCACAACCTCTGGCTCTTACAGCCTCTCACTGAGATGAAGTTGTATCCAAAAATCCTCTTCATTTACATTATTTTAATAAAAATTTTCCTGGAGGGACACTGCACTGTATTGAGACAATCAGTCTCAAAACCTCAGAGGCAGCAGTAGTTATATTTCTGTGATATTTACATGTTCATATGGGCAGTTGGTGTAAATAAGTAGAGGCAGCAGGCTTCTGCCAAGAAAAATTACACAGGAAGGTGCTGGACCTCCCTCTGAAAACTGTTAGTGCCTACTGAGCCCTATTTACAAATATACAAAGAAACCATAATAATGTTTTAACATACTCTGTCTCCAAGTCTGACATTTATCCCATCAAGTTCTAGAAGTGAGAAGGTATGAACTGCTGTTTCATGTGTAAGTTCTTCTTTGACACCTTCAGGAGAAAGTCTTGACCAAGTTACAATGAATCCAAGAGAGCTGTTTGCAAAAGGAATGCCAAAGGTACACCTCAGGTAGATGCTGCCTTTGATAATCTCTGCTACAACTTCAGGAACGGATGGAAGTGGTGGTGACACAGATGGAGATGATGTAGGAGCCAGGTTACCTAGTCAAACAGAAGCGTGGTCTGTGCTTTTTATTCTGCACAAAATCAGTATTGGATACAATGACACTGACATATTTTTTGCCAGATAATACACTAGTAATATTTACCCTTTTTATATGTGGAAATGCTACATAATTTCTTAAGAGAATCAAAATAAAATGCGTATCTCCCTGATTATAATTATTAAATGGAGCAAAAACTCTTTATGAGCTTTTGATTACATTCTAGACAACAGGAAGGTGCTAAAGAGGGGAAAAAACCAATCCAAATAAACATAAACCAAAAACATAAACAACAGAATAAAATGTGATTAATTATTTTACCAGGCAGGAGCCAGCAACATGCAAGGGAATGTGCCTTACAGAAGAATAATTTCACTATTTATACAGAAAGTGGGGAAAAGAAAAAGAAAAAAGGAAAAAGAAAAAGGCTATTTAGAAAGGAATAGAAAAAGCAACAATATTATTTGTAGATTCCTCTTATATTTTACTTCTGAGGAATCATTCAGCATCATTACAGTTACTTTTTGACATTTTGATACCTATTAAAAATATTCTGAGAAAGAAATTTGTAATACAAGTTTGTCTGAAATTACCTCCATACTGCTCATTTTGCTACAAACCAAGCAATACTGTTGATAACATGAACATGTTTTTATTCAAGTCAGAATATCACTAAGCGCTGACATTATTGGGTCACAGATGCACAGAAAACCTGGAAAATCAAAACAAAATACTCACTGCTACAGATGCCTTCAATTTCCATTCCCTCAGGATCACAGGTCTGTGGCCTTGCATCTGAAACAACTATAAAGGGTTTTTACATTTTATATTCACACACAAACAGAATATAGATTATAGACCAAATGTCACAAAACACCAATTAAAGTGCAAAAATTCAGAATAGAAGCAATCTTGTAATCTGATCCATGTACAGATGTGACAGCAGAGAGCACAATGTCTTGTGTTGGAAATCATCAGAAGGAAGGGTACAGAACATTCTACCAACTCTACAACCTTTACTGCTGATGTGCTCAGCCAATACTTACACACATTGCTAGTGAATAAAAATGAATTATACTATTCTCTTAAATATATATTTTGCCTCTCCAAATTCCGATCTGAACATTTATGCTTTAACTGTAACCCTGGACAGTGAAATTCAGTGCAGACCTGCTTTGCAAAAAAATCACCTTTCCTATAGAAGCCTAAGAAAAATCGTTTGTTAACTTCTATTGTTTTGTATTTTGAATGCTACAGAAAAAATAAGTGGAACTTGACTTAAACATGAAAATGCCATTTAGTCACTCTACCCAAACTACATCAGAAGGGCACCAGCAACACTGGAAATCCCATTCACCAAAAAGAATGAAAAGCAGACTTTTGCTGTTCTACACTTCAATGGTATAATGTTTGAACTCCTTAGCACGTAGAGAACAGATAGAAAATTTGCATCAGGTATTTACAGCTGTCAAGTGTTAAAGAAAAAACACTGGCCACATAGTAACCTATATACAAAAAGCAGTACAAGAGTACAATGTACTTCACATGACAACATCATCTTAAATTTGTGCATTTAAACTCAAAATGTGTTTCAGATTTACAGTGTTCAGTAGAGGCAAGTAAGAGTTATACTTTTTGCCTGCTTTGTTTTGAGGTAGTAAAAATTTACTAGCTTGCTGTCTAGCCGTGGTTTTGCATCTTCTTTCCTCACCATGTACCAGGATCCAGAGTAAGTGCAAGTCCTATTGTGCAAGAGTTCTTCATTGTTTCAGGCACATGCTTGCTGAACCCTTGGAGAATGTCTTGAAAATTGGATCTAAAGGTATAATGATGGGCCAACAAGGCACCAGAAAGCCCACTGATAGATTTGCTACTATGCTTTTGAAAGTAGGGTAATAGAACATGACTCCAAACAATACAGCATATGATGCACAAAAATACTGCTAGTATTTTCATAATGGTGTGTTATATGAGCTAATAAGAATTTCTTACTACACAAATTTGTCACTGTTTCACAGTATTTATAACTCAAAGGATTTAACCCTGGCTTGCTTATCTGAAAAATCTGTCATGAATAATGAAATGCTGAAGTTTTGAGCTGCCAACACCAACATACTTTTGCAGCACAAGACAGTAGGAGACATTGCAAAGGGTCTCCTTTCTCATAGAACTAGTAAAATGTGTATCAGTAGAGCATTTCTGTGAATTTTCTTCTAGCAACAACATGTATACACTCCAGAAAGATTATAAGAATTACAAGAAAAATATTCCTAATAGTGCTAAATAATAATTGATATAAACACAGTTTGCTCAAGTTCTTAAGGCAAAATTTATTCTGATACAAAATTCTACACATGTTCAGTAATGGCTATTTGGACAGTCTGAGTGCCATGAATTATACTGAATTTAGGTACACTGAATTTTGACTTCTAGATGTGTCTTATAACCCTACCTCATTATATGGAAAATTTCAATTCTTAAGTTTCTGGTCTTTGAAAATTAGTCAAATGCTACATGTAAGTTAAAGAGGGGTGAAGTGAACCCATCTCACCATTTCAGATCATTTCTCCTATCATATCAGTATTAAAAGCAAGGACTGCAAGAAATTTTAGCATAACTATTTCCTGACATTTCCACTCCACCAAGTTTCAGACATATACAGATCAGAAAAACACTTACTCATAAACACAGACACTTAGCTGAGTTAGAGCATGCATTTTCTCACCTTCTGCACAATACCCCATGCACCCTTGGGTGGGCTGCAGAAAGTAAACAAAGAAATCCCCGCAGTTCCTCACCCTGACGGGGATTCGGAAAAGACAGCAGTCTTTTGAAGTGCTGAAGAAAAACTGCCATGTAGCACAAGCTGTTAACTGCTTGATCTCACCAGGTCGAGGCATGGATTCTGACCCCCTCAGAGACAGCCAGACAGGGGCTTGAGTCCCACAGTGATTCATCTTCAGCACCAGAGAAAAACATCAGGAAATGGTTAATGCCACATCAAACTGTTACTGTGCTTTCATGAGAGGTACATATGTAATTAATTTCTCACATGAGTTTTTTAGCAAATTCAGCCAGATTGATGAGGGATTGATGACTTTCCTCCTCAAGGCTGAATACAAATGCGCACAAAAGAGACTTAAGTCCTTTACTGAACCTAGTGAATTTGTATTTGGTTCTAAAGACAGGCTATAATTTAGTGCCTGAAGAACTTAACTGGAAGCCACGCCTGAGTGTTTTGCTCAGAAAAGCTCACAGTTGTGCTATGGCTCAGTGAGCTACTTTGCACCATTAACCTACTGTCAGTGACTGTGTGGCTGCTATCAGAGCACAGCGAATGCAGGGTAGAGCAGAGGTACACTGAGTATCAACTAAAGGTGTTAAAGCTGTCACCTTTTATGTGCCCTTTGCCATCAACTGAAGGCTCAACTAACCTCCTGGAGTTCTAAGAGATGTGGGCAGCTGACGCATTAGTATGTTTGAACTGTTTTGCATTCATTTAAGAGCACTTAATTGATGGGATTTTAACTTATTTTTTTAAGAGATTGCAACAAGGAAATTTCAATTCATTAGAAAAATCAAGGCTACGATATTCTAACGACATTTTTAAGTTTTTAAAGGAAGGAAATGTTTTAAAAAGGGAAGCTAAAAAGATGTATCTCCTTAGTATATAACAGAGCTCCAAAATAAAGCTACAAATAAGCTCTGAAATAAAGAACTAGTCATCTGAAGAATTAAATATTTCAAGCAACTCTTGAGTCTTTGGAGGCTTGCAGATGACAAGGCAACTAATATTCAATTAGCTCTGTTAGTTCAAGTCACTTTAGCAGTAATCTCTTTTCTGTGACATGATGACTTTAAAAGCTCCACAATTACTGGGCCCATGTGGTTTCAAGTCTTTATACTGCTCTCACATGGCCTTCCTGACACACTGACCATCACACAGTTCCAGCTTTACAACATGATAGCCCTGCTATGCTGCTACTGAGAAAATTTCTTTAGCACCGAGTGGAAATTACAGTTTTTGAGTGCTCTAAAAGAGATTTAATTTACCATCCTCTGCTATTGCCCATTCAGTGTAAAATTTTCAATGCCTAGGACTTAATTTTTCAGTTAACACATTTTAATATATTCAAGTATTTAGAGATGATAGAAACTTTGTATTGTTCCACATCAGTCCCCATAATCATACTCTGTTTTATACCTACCCTACTGAAAAATTCTTCACCAAAATATCTATTTCTCAGAATGAAATTATTTGTAACAATACCTCCACGCACTTGGTTGGCATCTCAGCAGGCTTATCAAAAATCATGAAGCGATACCATCCTGGAGTCAGGGAATGGTCACAGATTAAATCCTGAATAGCTGATTGCTGGAGGTGGGAAGAATCAAAACCCACGCTTCGGTAAGGGCTCTGCAGGATCTGATGTCCACCAGGAGAACATTCTAGAACTGTGGAGCAACAGCATTTCAAGTATCAAGACGGAATGCCTAACTAAAATATTTTAGAAAATATATTAAGCATTTTAAAAGGAAAATGTTGCAATATTATGAGAAACTGATTTTATGAAAGAATATATTGAAGTCTTAGTCTGAAATTTAACATAATTCATTATGTCACAACTTTCCTTCTTTTAGTGGACAACAAATGCAGTAATAACCACATAGGCATTTACCCTGGATGCAAAACCAGTGGGAAGGAATATGTTTATACATTCTACCTGGATTTTGATTTTCTAGTTTGACTGATATTTATGAAACCTGAATACAAACAAGGAGTCAGATGCATGAGAATATAAAACTTACCTCAGGAGGAGTAAGGTTTATCCAAAGGTCTTTTCATAATAGATTACTATTTTACAGAACTCCTCTGCATGAAATTAATAATTCCCTCAAATGGATGAGAGATAGCTGGATAGTTGCATGCAGTTTGCAGGTATACGTGCAGAATATAACAAAAGTGTGTTAAAATGGGTAGATACTTGATACACATTTTAAGTCAATTTGCATGAATGACACACTAATTATAATAAAGAAACACAACTACCAAACTTATTTTTTGACATCTAAGTGACCTTGTGGCCTCGAAAAATCTCTAAAATTTTCTGATAGAATGAAGGATCAGAATCTGAAGAAGTCTTTATCACAGTTGTTTTTGTTTGGTTGGTTGGTTTTGGGGGTTTTTTGGTTTTTTTTTTGGGTTTTTTTGTTTTGTTTTTTTTTTTAATACAAACTCATTTAGAAATAAAGCAGAATTTCTGAGTCTGATCTGGCAGGTGAGTTGACTTCTGTAGAAGACAGTGACAACAAAAGTTCTAGCTAATGGCATATTTACATACAACATACTGAATAGTCATTCTTGTTCAGGAATGTGCTTGGGAAGTGAAAGAATGGAAAAATAAAGCAAGGGAATGTTTATGTGCAAGTGAGATTAAAAGTATACCTATCTATTTACCTTGCTTTTAAAAATGGATACCAACTGATGCTAACTGTGAACAGAAATTTGGGTTATACTGAATGATACAGTGAATCTTAATTTTTGCCTTCATTATGCTACTACTGAATTTAAAGATGCAGCTGTAAGCAAAGCTGTCTAATGTTACATTTTGAATATGAATGCTCTGATCTCCAGCTTTTGGTCCCAAGTATGTCTGTATTTGTTGCATATTTTGCGTGGTATAATTGTGTCACTGATTAGAAACACTTTGGTTTATTAATATAAGATAGTTTACTATCTTCCACATTTTTAATGTCATTCTAGATAACCACAATTATAAAACACTTTCAAAATCAGGTAATTCCCCACCTTTAAACGGAGAAGATGCCTTCGTGAAGGAATACACTTTATCTGTCTCAGCAAGCACAGTATGAGAATTCTACTCTTTCAAAGACTAAAGATTTAATCTGATACAGCTTTAGGCTACCCAGGCAGGTAACAATAGCTTTATCTTCTATCCTCTAAGGGCAGCTGGAAGTCACTGTGATTGACTGTGCCACCACTGTGTTTCTGAGTTTCTTGTAGTAGCCTGTGGGCTATTCGTGTCTGCACAATTTGACCTTACAGGGAACTTACCCTTCACTGGAATTTAGAGAAAAGCCCTTGAAGAATCACAGGTCAGTCATGTGTGTTATTGAAATGTTTTCCGAGCAAGCTAAAGCACAAGCAGTTTACGAACCATGATGAAAGTTTCTTCCTGTCCTCTATTTTTTACTGGAATTCTCCCTTTCATACAGCACCCTCATTAGTTTTCTTTCCTGTAACTGAATCACTCCTGAAACAATTAATATCTGTTACCTTCTCCATTAATATATCAGGCTAGACATGAGACAAGTCTTTATTTTCTTTTCCTCCACAGTTTAATTAGATCATCATTTGATAGATCTTTAAAACAGCTGACTGTAGTCACTTGTAATAGGGTTATAAATCCTACTAAAGATCAAATTATAAGTTTCTTATTATTATGCATGTCACTTTAAAAGGCCATCCAGCTCTTTATGAATCCAGTGTATCCTTTTCTCCTTCCTAGAAGTACACTAATATTTCTATAGTTATTGTTTGGAAATCTTATGTTGTGTAACACTGGTTGATTTTTTTTTTTTTTTCTTTCTCATTTTGAAAAACAACTAAAAATAACTGTCATCGTCAATAACACAAATAAAAATAACTTTTCTGTGCATCTGAATGTAACTGAAGTGCTGTCTAACTTCAGCAACTGCAAAAACAAATAAATTATCATATTTATGGACAGACGCACAAAAAATTAATGTTGTGTTGTCTGCAAAAATGTTATCCCTGCAGACCTGATCTGCTCCAACCAGAAGCATTTAAGAGGGAGGTGGCTACATTTTCCACTGAAATAAAGATTTCCTTATTCAGGATGCCTTAAATAAAAACAGATTTTAATATAAGCATTCTTTCAAATATTATTCTAGAATGATGAATACCGACTTTGCTGAAATGCTCCAGAAAAGTTTTGCCTCTTCCTAACACCCAGCAGTTTTCAAGAATCATAGAGTAGCTTGGGCTGGGAGGGACTTTAAAGATCATATAGTTCTAACTTCCATGACACAAGCAGGGACAGCTTTCACTAGACCAGGTTGCTCAGAGCTCCATTCAAGCTGACCTTGAACATTTACATGGATGGTGCAGACACAGCTTCTCTAGGCAACCTGTTCCAGTGCCTCACCATCCTCACAGTAAAGAATGTTTTTCTAATATCTAATTTAAACCTACTCTCTTTCAGTTTGAAATCACTGCCACTTGCCCTGTCACTACAGGCCCTTGTAAATAATGTTTCTCCATCTTTCTTGTAGGCTTCCTGATGATTCAAATCTGACAAAATTACAAGGATCTGAAAACAGGTTCTGATAGCTTTGAAGTGCTAAGGAAGGTTACCTACAGGGCAGGCTTACCCACCAGCTCTATCGAGGATGTGAGGAACATTAAATTAGGGGAAGATTTCTGTGCTACTGGTGGTTTGACTTCATCCACAATCACAAAAAATCCTAACATGTTCTGACACAAAACAGAAAACTCATGTAAGTTTCAACAAAATTTAGCATTTACTGATGATTGTTTCTTGACAAAAACCTTTCCATATACATGGGAATATTATTTGTAGTTATTTTTATGAACCTTTAAATGCATTAGTGATTTAATAACTTTCATTTTAAATATTTGCTATAGGATAGTGAAATTCCAAGTACAAAATACACAAATGAATACTTGAGAAATAAGACCACAATATCCAGTCTCCTTTGTAGACTGTGTATCTGTGTTTTCGCTTAGACTAGAGGACAAAAGGTTATCAATAGGTTATTAGGAGAGACTTGTTTCTAGAAAGTTGTAACTCTCCCATTCTGTTTGGTGGTCCAGATACTAAACACTGTCTGCTGAAAAAAAGCAGACAATCCTGGGAAAATATGCAGCTAATTCCGTAGCATTTGAGTTTACTTTATTTTATCATATTCTGTGCTTCTTTCCACGAACACCTTATATATATATACTGCTCATGGCTCTCTACCTTTCTTCAGCTTGTCTCTCCTCACAGCAGGAAGAAGTTGATTCCATATTTGCTTTTTCCTGACTGTCTTCAGGATTAGTGCAATGAGCTTCGCTGTGATCCACTCCAGACTTCCTTGGTCCTGATAGATACTGAGAAATGTGAACCTAAACTGCAACATCTTAAACACATGGATAGCCTTGTGCTAGAGGATGAGCCTTTTGGGAGAAATACAGATGAAATCTCTGCAAACACGTTGAGGTTTCTACCATGGCTGCTGTAAACTGAGTCACATAATACCTCTGAACACCTTAACCGAAATCAAAGAGGTTTCTGAAGTCGACACAGGAGCTCATTTGCCACAAAGAGATATGAAGTGACTCCTGATGACTATCTCTGAGGCACTGGGGTGGAAAACGAGTTCCACAAAGGAAGGGCTTTTCAACTTCCTGTTCACATCCCTATTCCATCCATGTGCAAAGAGGGGTCAATGATTTTCCACCTGTCCAGAATGTTTCCAACCCAACGGAACAGTAAGGAACTGAGGACTGCTGGGTACAAACTAGAGTAGAGAAGGAAAAAGGAGCCACAGCAGAGTACAGACAGGCAAGGGCAGAGTGGCAGCAGTGGCAATCTAGTCCCTCAGGTATAAATAACTTACAAGTGTATATGTCCTGCTGCCCAAAGGTTGGGGTCTGGCAAACAACCACTGATAACTAACAGTGTCTTTAGTAAGTGCCCACTGTGAGCATGAGTGTGCTTTTTATTGCATCTACTGACTGCAAAGGATGCAGCATACCAACATCCCAAGGCAGAAATTAGAACTAGGACTGAATTTAACAAAAGAATTTGTGGATCTAAACTCTTCCAAAATATTAAAATAGAAAAAAGTTCACTTTTTGGAAGAAGTTATCCTGGAACAACTTTTTAGAGTAATACTTTTAAAGGAGAACATAAAAATTACTGTAACTGCCTAAAAAATACCATTTTCTTTGATGAGACCTATAAAAGAACATGAGCAAAAATGTTGTAGCAATGACCCATGGAACAGGAACATGGTGACTCCTATGCATGGACCAATGAAGAAAATCGAATCAACATGCACATATTAATATATCTTTACAAATAACCTCGTCAGACTGGGTGTTGAAACACTTTTCAGCCACTTCTGTTCACACCACACGAGGTGCTTTGCAAAGGTAGCAAATAATCGCATAACTTTTATGAAAGTGTAAAATACATGTTTATAGAACGCTTTCTAGTAGTTCTCATTGCAATACATTATTGTATCTACACTTGATGTAGACTTTCTATCCGAAATTTGAAGCCATTCAGACACGGGCTTAGCAGAGGTCCCAGGTAAGGATGTGCCAAGGCACTGCCTGCGCTCCAACACAGGCGAGAGGGCGGGAGACCCAGCACCCTCGCTCTCGGAGTTGCCCTCGGCAGGATTTCCCCACAGGTGCGCTGTGACAAGGGCAGCTCCTCCTTCGCCAGGTACAGAGTTGAGGCTGTTCCAGTGACACCTGCGGCACGCAGCCCCGGCGCCGAGCGGTGCGCGGGCCCGGCGAAGCCCGGCGCTGTCCCCGCCGCAGCAGCCGCCCCTCCGGCCCGTTCACCTGCCCTTCACAGTGCCCGGGGTCCCTTACCTCTCCGGCGGGCCCCGGCCGCCGCCAGCCAGCCCAGCACGGCCACGCCGAGCCAGAGGCGCGGGGCTGCGGGCGCGGCCCCCGGCATGGCCCCGCCGCTCCGCTCCGCTCCGCTCCCAGCCGCGCGCGCTCCCGGCCCGCCGGCAGCTCCCGGTGCCTGTGGCAGCTCCCGGTGCCTGCGGCCGCTCCCCGCGCCCACCCCGCTCCTCCGCGCAGCCCCTCCCTCAGGGACCTCGGCCCGCCCCCTGCCCGGCCCGGCCCGGCCCCGCTGAGGGGGTGTCCGTGCCCGGTCCCGGCCCTGGGGCTGCCGCAGGCGGGGGTCTGTACCCGGGCCGCTCTGGCATCCCCTGCCCCAGGCTCCCTCGAGGGCCTGCGCTGCAAGAAAACGAACGAAACAGTCCTTGGTTCTTGTCGGGGGCCTGTGAAGATGCTTGTCCATATCCCAAAGAGATCCAAACAGACCCAAAGCAGGTCGGCATTGTCAGCAATGCCCTATTGCCCTACAACCCAGAGCTGTATTTATTTTCTGATGTACAGTAAAATGCTGAAGAAGAGACGGTTTCAAATTGGTCCTTTGATAGACCACCAAGAGTGTTTTATATTTCCTTAACCTTCATTGAATCTTCATTACAATTAATGCAGACTGAATTTAGCAAATATTTAACAGTTCCAAGAGCCCAAGCTTCAAGATTTACTAAGAGATGCTCCTCTCCAGAGGCGTCTGTCAGAGGACAAAGAGCAGAACAAATCTCAGCATTTAAGTTTTGTCAGTGCTGGTATTTTCCACTGTAGGGCTGAGGTTGTGCAGTCATCGAACTACTTTGCACACACCAAGCAGCAGAGCAGTCCACAGAAATGTTTCACAATCTCTGTAGCCTATGTAGGCCTGCTGACACTAAAACACACCTTACTGCCATCCACTGAACATCTGCCAGGCTACAATGGTCAGCAAAGACTGCTTCCAGGGGTACTGACCTGGATGGCTCTTGGCAGAGCAGCTTTCCCTGCAGGAAGAGGTAACAGGGCTTGGAGTCAAGGCAGAGGCAGAGCAGCATTGCTGGGGTAACCTCAGTCATCTTTTGTTCACATACTCTGAGCTTCTTCATTGCAAGAAACAGGTCAGCTCTATGACGGCAGTGAGTTTTTTTTAAGGAATCACTGGAATTCTCACAGTCTGAGAATTGAATCAGACAGGTGTCTTGGATTCCTGTCTGAGGAAGATAATTTTGTCCTAAAAATTCAGGGAAATTTTAACAATAAGTTTTCTTAATTGTTTACTCAACTCTCTCCATTATTTGTCAGCAGATATGACAAACTTTTATCCTGAAATACTGCATATGCCTGAAATTAGTTTGGGCTTTACTTCTCTTTTTTCCCAAAGCACATGTTTATAAAGAAAACAAGAGTATTGAAAGAGATATTTTACAAAACAAGTAACAAAGTCAAGAGCTAGAAAGAGAGATGTGAGAAGCTTTGACAAAATTTAAACATTAAGCTACTTCTTTGACCCCTTGCTAGTCATGATGGAGTAGTATTTACAGGAGGATTAACACCTTTCGTCATGGATCATTCAGGGGATAGAGAGAGGAGGCAGTAATGGCTGCTGGAGTACAGGCACCTTTAATCTTTTCTAGACTGGTTTTCCTCTGCCAGCTCCCTTTGCTACTATCAGCCTTGTAACCTCTTACAGTGACAGCAGAGAAAGAGCATATTGTGGTTAAAAGAGCTGACAGCTTGCCAAAAGTAGTACTTGGCACTCATGGTAACAGAGTTGTGTCAGTGACACTGAATTGATGGAAAACGAAAGTAATTCTAGGGCAGTCTCAGGCTTATCATAGGAGAATAGGGCTTTCCAGCAGGTTGAATTTCAGATAGTTTCTGTCAGTAATTTCCATAGTTTCAATTAACTAAATCATAGGCTAAGTAAAGTTGTGTTGCACTACTTAAAACATCTCTTTCATTTCCAAAGGAATGTGAAGTCAAACTGCAATTTTGTATGTATACATTATTAAATAGCAGGATGTTTGGGAGGAAAACCAAGAGTGTTGAATGAAGAATTTAAAATTCTATCATGGTTATGTAGTCCAAGTCATTGCTTAATATTCCACTGAAAACATGGCACAAGAAACTATGATATCAATTCTAGGGAGCATTTAGACACTGCAGCACAAATCAGCATTTCCCAGAGTGGATTTTATGATTAACAATGAAAGAAAGAAAGAAAGATTTAAGGTTGAGTTTGAAAATTATTCCAAAGCTAACTTAGCGTTTATTAATCTCAGCATGTTCAGTGAAGCTTTTAAATATATATTTATTTTAAGGTGGATTCTGAAGTCCTGTCTATGGATAAATTAATTATTTGAACAAAGCCTGAGCAGAAGTGCTTTTGCTGACTCATGACTGTCTCATAAGACAGGGAAGAGCACAGTGATAAACTGAAGAAAAAAGAGGTGTTGGATGACAAGGAACACGGCTTAGGCAATGCTGAAAATTGAGTTAAAAAATTCAGATAACAAAGAAGGCGGCTCTGCTGATGTTAAGTTCTTGGATCTGCAACTAGATTGTTCTGGTTTAAGGGTTATCTGTGTAAGTTCATGACTGTGCAGCTCCAGCATGTGTGTATGGGTAACAGGAATCCCAGGAAAAAAAAAAAAAAAAAAAGAAAAAAAGGGAATTTTCTCATAAACACATCAGAACTTTGTCATTTGACACTTCCATTGCTAACATGCCAGTGGGATGTTTGTGGCAGTACACCTCAGATCATTAACTTAATGTATACAAAGTACACATCTATACATTATTTAACAAGATGTCATTATCTCACATTGCATTTAGGGGAGCAGTCCAGAGTGAGCAGCAGCCAAGTGGCTAGCAGGTTGATTAAGGATTCTTTTTGGTAACTAAGCTAAGAACAATCAGCAGTGTTTGCCAAAATGTGTACAAATAGGTGTGCATAGCTGCTCAGGTGTAAACTGGAAATGAAGAATCTCCTTGAGTTTTAAAAGTAGTTGTTTCTAGACAAAGCCACAAATGGGGTTTTTTTTCTAGTTGTAGCCAAACCCTCAACTTGAAGGTAAATAAAGGGATCACCTACAAGAAAGGCAGTGCTTGTGGTAGGCTCCTTGGAATAATAAGTAATTAGTGTGAATGGTAAGGCACAAGCAGGGGGAAGCAGAGGCTGAGAGCTGAAGACAGCTGGGTAGGTGGATGCTGTCCTGAACAATGAATCCCCAGGCCTGACACTTTGGGATTTGCTCTCTCTGACACTCAGAAGTCCTTAGCCGGGTTTTGTAAACTCAGATAAACCCTTAGAGAAGAATCTGATTAAGCTTAAGCTAAAATTGCCAACTATATCTAATTAATTATAAACCTTTTCTTTCCAACTGTGTAGCTAAGAGTACAAATGGAAGTCTTCCTTAAACGAATCTTTCATGCTGTACTATTAAGCATGTTTGTAGTGTAAGGTAAGGTAAATCTGAATAAGCCCTTTAAATCTATGTTGTTGTATTTGTTATCTGTGCAGAGATAGAGCATGTTATCTGTGCAGAGATAGAGCATAACTCCAAATAAAGCTGTGAGCAGAACATGGAAGCTGGGAGAAATTTCCCTGCAAAGCTTCAAAGGGTTATTGCATTATTGCCAAGTGCTGAGTGTTTGGAAAGAGCTGCCTGCAGGAGATAACACCCCTCCTGTAAGGAGAAGATGGCTGAGAGATAGCCTGCAGCCCTGGGCAGATCCAAAAGTATCAGAGAGGAATGAGTTTTGTTGCATTTTCCCCTTAATGTTTTAGGTTTTTCTTTGTGTAAAAATAATTTCTTTTTGCTTGTGCCAGTTCCTGTATGTGAATGGTAGGTGAACTCGTCCTTTCCAAAGCAATAAATTGTTAACATTCTTTGTCTAATCAATTCTGCCCTTAAAGTCAAATTCCAATCTTCCCTTCAAATTGTAGGTTGTGTGACTTTTAACTTAGCTAAGGTTCATTTGATTTAAAAACATGGTTTAGCAGCTCTGAAACTAATGTCCTGAAACATAAAAACATCACTAAAACATAGGAAGACACACTAAGACACATTGCCTGTTCCAATTCAGAATGAGATATTTGATTCTATCCCCCTTCCTATCTTTGACACCAAATAAATAGAAACAGAGAATAGGTAATGGTCATGTGCATTTATTCATTTTGGTCATTCTGTGACTGATATTGCAGCATCACAAGAGGTTAACTTTACTCATGTTTATTCTGCTAGCGGCTTTTTCAGAAAACTGGGGGGCTTTTGAGTGACATTTGTTTTCCAAAATGCTTTTAAAATTTGTAGAGGGTATTTTTTAAACTGCCATGTAAATGTACTCAGCACTGACAGTCTGTTTAACTTTCAGAAGTAATGACATCGTTAGTATCTTTTAGTCCCTAATTCTCTTTTATATTTGACCTCTTGTATATACTATATTTGACTTATGCAGTAAAGGACTTCAGTTTAAAAATCTAATGTAATTTGGCTTTGATAAGCAGTATAAGAGTTAATGTAAATCATGGGAGATCTGTCTCCAGCAGTCAAATAAAATCAGTGTTAAGCTTTCTATTAACTTAATCATCTTTGGATCAACCACTTACTCCTTTATTTTTCTCAACTATTTTTATATCCTTATTTCATGGTCTGTCAGCTGTATTTACTCAAAATGTGCCAGAATATTTTGAAGTCTAGGAAGTCCCTTGGCTAGTGGAATATTAATGGAATAATCTTTGTTTTACGGATACTGAAATGTAACACCGACATGTAATTACATTGATAAGCTGAATATGATACAAGTCTCAACTACTATTTCAACTCTCTCTGTCTCCCATGCAGTTTGTCTTTGTGTGTGTACAGCTCACTTAGTAATTTCTAGCAATTTTTAAAAAGTAGGACACCATAGAATTAATTCTTTACCCTATATAGAATAAATGCTACTTGAGTAAGGTGCAAAACATTGATCTTTTAGGTAATAGTGTACTTCATACTTACTGGCTTTCATCTATTTGTATTTGCACCACTATTCTAATAAAAAAAATTAAAATTAAAACAAATAAAAATTAACATTACTGGGTAA